CCCCCCCGTGTCTCAAAAGGTGCTACTATAGTCTCTAGTAGGAAAAAGTACAGAGAAAAGCCTCGGTTGCCACCCTTTGGGACTACCAACCACCTGCCTTCAGAGAGGCACCCTTGTCTGTTTTTAGTGTTTGTTGTTTGTTGGTGGTGTCTTTTAATTCTTAGTCTGACTACCCCAGAACCTCAGTTTAAAGTTCCAGCACTCTTTCACCAAGGACTACATGGGCATTTCAGATCAATGGGCAGAGTGGACTCTCTAATAAATGCTACTGTGAACACCAGCTTTACATTTGGAGAGAAAGATGAAGTGCAGATTTCTACCTTATACCATGCACAAAAATAAATTCGATACCAATTAAAGATGTAATTATATACAGACAAAACAATGAAATTATTAATGTGGAATATGTAAAGGAGTATTTTTAATCTTGGCATGGAAAAAGCTCTCCTGGGATGCATCAAGGCCAGACACCATAAAGGAGATTGATGGGTCTGACTACATAAAACTAAAGACTTATTTTAAACACAATACCACATACTAAGTGAAAAGACAAATGTCAACAGACCCCGGGGGAAGGGGGAGCATTTGCACTGTAGCAGGCTCAAACAAATAAAAATACTAACTCCTCAAGGGGGGAGGGGCAGACAAAAGACCTAATTGGCATTCACAAATGAAGAAACTTAATGCCCAATAAACAAACTGAAAAGCCAGGCAACTGTGACAAATAAGCAAAGAAATGCAAATTAAACCAGTAACACCAGCCGCTGTGGAATCTGAGGGGAAAGTTTATTCTGTGAGTGGGAAATGTATATTGAACCAAGAAACAAGGCACACTCAGTTTAGCAGGTGCGTAGATCTGAGTTGTGGCAGAAGAATCCCTTCACTTTGCAAGTGGACCCTAAGAAGTGGTACACCGGGTCTTTTCTGGTATGGAGATTTTGTTATCTTTTCTAACAATCTGGATGTTATTGCAGACCATTCTCCTAACGGAAGTTATCACAAGACTAGGAAAACAAACATCACATGTACTCAGTACTAAGTTGGAATTAGAAGATTAACTCCTACTTGCTCACATGAGAGAAACACTCAGTGAAATTCAGGTAAGGGGGAGAGGGAGGAGAGAATGGGTAAATTCCCACCCAACAGGATACATAGCACAGGTATATGGCACACTTCCTGGGTGAAGGACACACCTACAACTCCGACTTTAACCTTACAAAAGCAAACTACATAACCTAATTGTATGCACCCCCATATTAATCTGAAATTTTAAAACAAGAAGTAGTACACAGAAAGACTTTATATGCACGCAATCTATGTCTGGGGGGTCAAAATTTCACCTACTCACTCTGGAAGAGGAGAAAGTAAGACCTGATAGGACTACTCCTATCTGGGTATATATTTAAAAAGAAACTAACAAAATCAAAACTAGTAATGATGGCTATCTGTGGAGGGGAGAAGTGAGGATTAGGTTTGGGGGGGATGGCTCGCAGAGATATTCTGCTGGCTCACTCATCAATTTTGTGAACCATATGAATGTATTACCTGTTTAAAAACTGACGAACAAAAAAACTGTTTAACAAAAATCATTAAAACTGGATTTGATTTGGGCGGTGCCTGTGGCTCAAAGGAGTAGGGCACCAGCCCCATATGCTGGAGATGGCGGCTTCAAACCCAGCCCGGGCCAAAAACTGCAAAAAAAAAAAAAAAAATCTGGATTTGATTTTTATGTATTTTTTTTTTTATTTTTTTGCAGTTTTTGGCCAGGGCCAGGTTTGAACCCACCACCCCGGATATACGGGGCCGGAGCCCTACTCCTTGAGCCACAGGCACCACCCAGGATTTGATTTTTTTTTTCATACATTCACACACAGCACTGCCCGGATGTTATGGCTTTGACTTTTCAGACAGAAACTAATAGGGGGCACCTGATCCTAGATTGCAGCTTTACTAAAGACTTTCGAAGGGCAGTTTGGTAAAACATGTTATCAAATATAGAATTTTCATACCCCCTCACCCAGCAACGACACTTCCAAACACTTATCCTAAAGAAATTACTGGATAATGGCACAAAGGTGATTTTGCAGCATTATTTACTACAAGGAGTAATTAGAAACTGTTACTGTCCCTCCCTCTCGCGTGGAGACTAGTAGCATAAATTGTGATCATCACTACAGAGGTTGCAAGTCTGCAGACCACATTTTTGAGCCGTAAAGCTTCCTGTCCCCAGCTGTAACTCTCACCCCGGCGGGCTCTCTTAGACGCGCCGCCCCACCCGGTGCCGGATCTCTCACCTGGTCAGCTCAGGGGAGCGGTGGTTGCTGTTGGAGCAGAAGATGTTGTTGGACTTGCGCGTGCCGTCCAGGAACTCATGCACTGACTTGCTGCGCAGCTCAGCCAGGGGCCGGGCCTCATGCTTGAGGAACCACTGGTGTGCCTCGAAGCACTGGGCACAGAGGAGCTGCTCGCACTCAAAGCACCAGAAGTCCGCCACCTCCTTGCAGCGGACGCAAACTGCCCGCGCGTCTACAATCTGCCGGTACACCGACAGGCGCCGCTGCAGACTCTCGAAAAAGACATTATCCAGAACCGGCGTGTCAGTGCCCGGAGGCCAGGGCTCCTGGCAGATGGGGCACTGTGTGACCGGCGGCTCCAGGCATCCCGAGCACAGAGTATGCAGGCAGGGCAGCAGCTTGGGGCACTTGGCTTCCATTCGGCAATGCTGACAGTGCAGGAACTGAAACTCATCGTCCTTCGTGGCTTCCTGGGAAACCAGAGTGGGGGTGAGGTCTGGAGAAGTCCCAGGAGTCCCCACCCACCGGCTGTCCACAGGTTACGGCTGAAGGCCTGAGCAGGATCTCATATTCCATTCCTGTCTTAAGATGATGCAAAACTCTGGCTTATCAGCACCTCAATACTCCCATTGGTTGGGGTCTTCCTGCTCTGGCTGCATAATTTATTGAACATCTACTTCCCACCAGGCCGGGAGATACAGGGGGTCCTCTGGCTTTTAAGGAACTCAGTTTGGAAGGTAATACACTAAGTACGACTTCATATAAAGTGCTAAAGAGTTAAATAACTACCATACCCAGCAATTCCACTCCTTGTGTATACCCAAAAGACCTGAAAACAAGGATCCAAACAGATATTGTATGCCACTGTTCATGCTAGCACTAGTCACAATAGCCAAAAGGTGGAAAACAATCCAAATGTCCACAGATGAATAAGATAAAACAAAATGTGGTCTACTCATACAATGAAATATTATTTAGCATTAAAAAGGAATCAAATTCTGATACAAGGATAGACATTGAAGACATGGAAAAGGAGAAACACTGTATGATTCCACTTAAATGAAGTGCTTAGAACAGGCAAGTTCATAGAGACAGAAGGTAGATTAGAAGTTACCAAGAAATAGGGCAAGAAGAGAGTTGAGGAGCTGTGTTGGGGGCTCAGGACACACCCTTACAAAATATGACTACAGGAGACCAGACTATGCCACCCCAAAATATACTTTTCAGCATATTTTGAGCTGGTTATTCTGAGAAACTGCAGACCCAGGAATAGCTTTGAAAAGTTGTCCTTTTGTAAAAAAGAAATTTACATCTATAGAGGAAATCTACATTAGTAAAAGTATCTGAAGAGAGCCACTCTAGACAACTTTAACACAACTTTTACACCTATTACTTGAGAAATTTTTATCTACATAGCAAGATAATCTTTACTCACCAAACACACTTCCTCCCCATACCCTCCCTATAGCATGTGTCTCCACCATTCCTAGAAGCCCCTCCCTCCTCTTTCCTTTCTGTAGCTCAAGATGCTATTTAGGTTTCAATCATCTGACTCTTCTCAGTCTATTTTGTGGGACTCCCAAGTGTGCATACATAATTAAATATGGAATTCCCCCTGTTAGTCTGTCTTAGGGCAACTTAATTCATAGCCCAACCATGGAATCTGGAAGGGAGAGAGGCCATTTTCCTCCCCTATAACTTAAAGAGTACAGAGTTGCAGGGAAGTTGAAAATGTCATGGAGACTGTCTGGGCACTATGGCTCACACCTATAATCCTAGCACTCTGTGAGGCCGTGTCTGGTGGATTGTTTGAGACTCTGTCTCTGAAAATAGCAGAGGGGCGGGAGGATGAAAATAGCCAGGCATTCTGGCTGCTGCCTGTAGTTCCAGCTACTTGGGAGGCTGAGGCAAGAGGATCACTGGAGCCCAATAGTTTGAGGTTGCTGCTGTGAGGTATGATGCCATGGCACTCTACCTGGGGCACAGAGTGAGACTCTTGTCTCAAAAAAAAAAAAATTATGGAAATAGATAGTAGTGATGGTTATGCAACATTACAAATGTACTTACTGCTACTAAATTCTAATTTAGAAATAGTTAACATGGTGACTTTTACATTAGGTGTATATATATTTTACAATAAAAATGCAAATAAAAGGCGCTTAATACAGTACCTGGCACGTATTAAGTGCTTGTAAATGTTAGCCAGTATTGTTAAGTAATATTCTTAGTTATAATGCATGCCAATAATAAAAGTTATGTAAGGTTGTAGAGGACGCGGAAAGCCAGACGACCTCTGAAGCAAGATAATTTGCGGCAGGGGGCTGACTCTCGGGCAATTCTTCCGCAGGTGTTCGTTGGAGAGAAAGTGCCCGAGCCTCCACCGGTCATGTACCGTCACAATAAAAGGCTACTGAGGGCTCGGCTCCTATAGCTCAACCGGCTAAGGCGCCAGCCATGTACACCTAAGGTGGCGGGTTCGAATCCCCAGCCCGGACCCGCCAAACAACAATGACGGCTGCAACCAAAAAATAGCCGGGCGTTGTGGCGGGCGCCTGTGGTCCCAGCTACTTGGGAGGCGGAGGCAAGAGACTCGCTTGAGCCCAGGAGTTGGAGGTTGCTATGAGCTGTAATGCCATGGCACTCTACCCAGGGGGACAGCTTGAGGCTCTGTCTCAAAAAAAAAAAAAAAAAAGCTACTGAGGAGGTTGCTCGGGGCTACCCTGTATTCAAGGTTAGCCTGCCTCCTTGCAAGCTTGTACTTCTAATCCGTGTTACGCCTGGTTCCTTCGTGTGGCGACCAAGACCGGGTCCATAGGGATCGCGACATAACGTACTTTCATGAACAGGCTGGAAGGACACAGGAGAAGACTAAGTAGGTTTCTTTGGGGTGAAGATGGTGGCAGGAAGAGGGCAGAAAGAGCATTCCAACAGGATTTCGGAGAAATCACAGGCCTTGGCTAGTTTCCCACCACTGATCTGGCAACTTGGGTTTTAGTTTTGCTATGCCTAGGACATTCCCCCTGCCTCCAGGCTAGCGTAACCAAGCTACAACCTCCATTCTCTCCAATTTGTGGTCTTTCATCTGAGGTAGGAGTTGCGCGGCAAGGCTCGAGAGTGCGCAGGAAAGCCCCATTCCGGCAGCCACTGACCCTTGGCATGAAACCCAAGAGCTCAGTGGAGAACTGCGACCCAAAGACGCCCCCCATACACACACACAGCTGATCCTGGTCCCCTTTTCTTCTCTATCCTACCCTCCCCACAGCCAAGACCGTCCGGTGTCTGGTCTTGCCTCTCTGTGTCACTCTTTAAGGTACTTAGTCAAGGCGTCCATTAAACCCTCTTCTGATCTCTTCCCCTACCACAGCAAACCAAGAAAGCCCAACCCCACCATCCCCAAACTCATTACCTCTGTGTGGCTCGGGTTGGGCAGCTGGTCTTCGGAGGGGTTATCCGGGGGAGGCATGGTGGGTGTGCGCTGAAAGGCAAGTTTCCGCTGCGGCCGCGAAGATCCGGATGGTGCAGGCTCCTCTGGCAAGTATTCTACAGTTAGTTTCGATTCAGGGTTTTGATCTAGGAGGGCGGGAGGAGAAGCTTTACTGGAAGCGTGGGCCAGGGGGCTGAGTCCCCCGAGCTGTCTGAAAGGGGCGGTGCCGAATCAGGGCCCGCCTCCGAGAGGAAGTGAGACAGGAGCAGGGGGCGGTTCTAGATGCCGTAGACGCCCACTGTGGGATTTGAAAACCCTCCCAGAGGCGGGAGGAGGGCGGGGCCGGAGAGGAGCGGACCTACAGCTGACTCCGGTGAAAGGGGCAGAGGCAGAGCTGACCAGGACTGGGGCGGCCCCACAACCGTGGCTTTGATCCGTTGGTTCATCTCACTTTGGCGCCCTTTTGTGGCACCGCCAGCAGGAAGCTGAGCTCACAGAGATGAACTGCACGCGGCCCCTGCTTTCCAAGAACCCCAGATCTAATGGAAGAGTAAGCCTCCAAACGGAGGCTTTCTGGAAAGGAGATTCCCTCAGCTTAGACTTGAAAGCGCTGTGGAATTCACTAGGGATTCAGGGATTGGGGGAGTACTTTATGCAGAGAAAACAGCACCTGCAAAAGGCTTTCTTTTTTTTTTTTTTTTTTGCAATTATCAAACATAAGCGCCTATTCGGGAACTAGGTTTGACCATTTTCATATTTAAGAGGGGACTAGTGAAAAATTTTGGCTAAGGCTGGTCGCAGTGTTTCACGCCTGTAATACCAGCACTTTTGGAGGCCAAGGCAGGAGGATCCCTTCAGTTCGGGAGTCCCAGACCAGACTGAACAAGATAGAGACCCCCGTCTCCACTATAAATAGAAAAATTAGCCGGGAGTTGTGGCAGGTGCATGTAGTACCAACTACTTGGGAGGCTGAGACGGAGGATCTCTGAACCCAGGAGTTTGAGGTTGCTGTGAGCTAGACTGAGGCCATGGCACTCTAGCCTTGGGGACAGAGACTCTCCAAGAAAGAGAGAGAGAGAGAAGAAATTGTGGATAAGGGGTGTGCTGGGCAATTGTAGCTAAGGAGACGGGACCAGTTCTGTAGGTGATAGAATGGGTGAAGGGTATGGAACTGGGACCAACATGTTCAGCTGTACATGTAGAAACAGTCACTCTGACAACCTAGGCACAGGTGACTTGGTCTTGGATGCAAAAGAGGGACCTGGAGGACACTGATTGGAGTTGAGGAACACTGACTGGAGTCGAGTGGCAGTTGGACAGGCTAGTAAATCTGCAGGGAGGAGGCAGGGAGGGAGGGGAAGAGTTGGCCATCAGGTATGAAGAGGGAAAGGTCTCAAAAAGTGGGTCTTGCCAACGAAAAAGCATTCTTGCCAGAGCCTCAGCTGTTGAGAGAAAAGGTACCCAGCTCTTAGAGGCCTCACTGGGCCAGTGCCCCAGCTTCAAACTGTAAACCATCCTGACCACTATAGTGGTAACGGAGCATCCGTTCATTGCTCTGTCCAACTGAGACTAGAAGGGATGATGACAGGACCTTGCTTTTGTAAAGCTTATAGTTTGGGGGGCAGCGGGGTAGTGGTGAGGGTAGACCCAACTTCCCAGGTGCCTGCCATATTCTCCAGCCTGGTCAAGTATCCCTGGACCTTTAGAATCAGTCCAACAAAGTAGGAAAAGCCAAATATAGGTGGGCAGCCATCTGTAGAAAGGACGCAGAAGCAAAGCAAGCTATGGCAGTATGGGGGTTGGGGGATGGTTGGCTGAGAAGACAAGACTGGGAAAGCTTTATTAGTTCTTTGCTTGCTCTGGAAGACACCTTGCTCTCAGCCTGCTCCAACAACCTGGTGGAAATTAACACTTCTCAAATTTGCGATTTGCACTTGTGTTTTTTGAGGCCATAGAGAGGCAAGTTATCTCTGGATACCTAGATCAAGGGGCAAGCTGTTTCTGGACCTGCAGAAGTGAGAGTCTTACCTCAGTGATATTCTGGGGCCCCCAGCCTGTACATGAAATTTCTCTTTTCGTGCGGGTGTTTAGGCCTTCCTTGCCGCACCTTGGCTCCAAGTGACCTGGTTGTGTCATCATTCAACAAATAAGTACTTGAGATCTGTTTTGTGCCAGTCCAGCTTGCTGAGCTATGGGGACACAAAGAGGAATAATTTGCTGACCATGCTCTGGAAAAACACTAAGTCTAGATAAGGCACGTCCCCCTCCATTGTGTGAGTTTACAGAGGGAGTGCTAAGAAGGCTAATAACAGCATTTCCTAGATTTTGGAGATGATTCAGTTCCTTAAATCTCTCTTAGGAAGCCCAGCTTCCCTTCTGGATTGTCAAGGAGCAGAGAAGAGGCGACGGTGACCCCTGCGGGCTTGAGCGAATTCGGACCCCGCCCTCTGGCCGGGATCGCAGTTTGGTCCTCCCAGCACAGGGGGCGCTGTGGAATAGTGGGAGGGAGCTCCGGCCTGCCGGCGTCCCTGCCACCGCCAGTGGCTGCGCGAGTGAAGCCGGAAGCAGCGGTCAGCAGGGGCGGGGCTGTGTAAGGACCGGCTGGTCAGGGCTGGCACCCCGCGGCAGCGCGGGGCGTGTCCCCTGTCAAGAGTCATGCTCGGCAGGTCTGGGTACCGCGCGCTGCCCCTAGGGGATTTTGACCGCTTCCCGCAGTCGAGCTTCGGCTTTCTGGGCTCGCAGAAGGGCTGCTTGTCCCCGGAGCGGGGCGGCGTGGGGCCGGGGGCCGGTGAGTGGCCGCCCACACGGCGGACTCAGAGGGAACCAGCCGGCATCCCCAGGCCTGAACGCTAGGCCTCTAAGGAGTCGGCCGGCCTCACACCCTCGAGCCCTAAGAGGAGGGACCGAGTAAAGGAAACGATGTGGAGAGGGGCTGGACTGGGCACTGGGGTACTAGCGCTGGTCCACCCTCCCTAGGGCCATGGGGCTGTGGCCCCAGAGCCAACGTAGGCTACCATCTTCCAAAATCTTGCCCTACCCTACTTCTTGGCTCTTATAAGCCCTTTAGGCCTAGCTAGAGGTTTCGAGTTTCCATTTTCCCTAAAAGAATCTGAGGTCTAGGCAGAAGAACCACCAGCACAGTTAGGGCATTTGCTGCAGAGAAATGGAAGAACCTTCACCCTAGGAGGCACAAATACATAGGCCAAAAAGGCAGGCCCTGAGGTGCCAGTTGTGTGCCCTGGTTCTGTGTTGCCCCTTGGCTCGCTTGGCCCACAGGTCAAATCCCACACTCTTCAGCCTGACCACCGAACCTTGAAGGATTTGATCCCTCCCTGGCCATCCTGTACTGACAGCTGTCCCTAGTTAAGGATGCTTTTCCTGCAGAGGCCCCATGGGTCAGAGCCAGGCAGAAAGTTGAGCCTTGGTACCCCCTGAGGCTTGGAGACCTCAGAGGACACGAGCTTTTTAGAAGGATGGAGTGAAGCCTCCTGCTTTCTATCCAGGGTTGGGAGAAGGAAAGCACCAAATAACTTCCTCCCATTTTCCAGGGCTGTCTCAATGCCACTCCTGTCCTAGGCTCCTGGTTCTCTGGGGTTTGCACCTTTGGTTTGGATGAGTCTCATCTTCCAGGCCCCCTTTTCCCCAACAAGTTGCTTGAAATATGCGTTTTTAATAATCCATTAACATGGGGTGAGAGGTAGAAAAGAACATATCATCTTTTGTCTGTGGCTCCTATGATGAGCCATTAATGCTGTATCCCTGTAGGTTAAGGCATTGTCTCTATAAAGACGCTTCAGAAGCACACTTCTGGTCTGATGGTAGAGGAGGAATGTGTTATGCCTCAGCATTTAGTTCACCCCAGCGCTCTTACAGATGCCCAGGTGCTCCTGGTCTATGCCAGTTGTGGGTGGGCAGTATAAATTAGGTGAGGTGGACTGACCCCTGCTTAGTTCAGTGAGGAGAACATCACATGGATTGGATTCTCAGATTCAGTGGCTGTTGCCTATCAGAGAGTAAGCCTTTGTGTGGGTTGTGGGACTTGGGACAGATTAGTGTTTATGCATTGGATGAGGGAACAATTCCTAACTAGAACCTGCCCAAAGGTATGGGGGTATTAGGCAAGGGGCCATGTTGCAAACCCTGAGAAGGAAGGAGGCTCTAAAAGGGAGAATGGGTGAAAGGTGCATGTGATCAAGTTCACTCTACTTGCAGCTTTTCTGCCAAGCCCATTTGGTGATCCTCAACTGCCTCTTCTCTCGTGCCCCCAGATGTACCCCAGAGTTGGCCCTCCTGCCTCTGCCATAGCCTCATCAGTTTCCTGGGGTTCTTGCTGCTGTTGGTCACCTTCCCAATTTCTGGCTGGTTTGCCCTGAAGGTAAGGCTAGCTGGAAGTTCCCAGGGTGGTTGGGCCACACTGAGAGCTTTGGCACTGATGAATGTATTTTCTTATCCTCTATTTCCCTTCCTTGAACATTGTATCATTACACCTCTGTGAAATGGGCTAGGCAAGGATTGTGCATTCCCATCTTTCAGATGAGGAAACTGAGGCTCAGACTTGTCCCAGACTTGTCTGGGAGCTGGTAAGGGGTAGAAATAGTCTTCCTAAACTCCCAATTTCTGGGATCTGAACACTGACTACAAGGTACACACAGAATTCTTTGCCAAATCCTCCATTAGGTCTAGGCTAAAGTAGAAATGAAAACATCCAATTGGGCCAAACAGGATTTAATGCATAATAGGAATTCAGACCTGGTTTTCAATAAGTAGTGGTACAGTTGGGAAAAAGATGAGTAATAGAACTATAATTTAGCATCATACCTAAAACTTGGGATGGAGGTGGAAGCTCAGGTAGTCCTGGCCTTTTGTGTTGCCTTAGGCAGCAGTCAGCTTCTCCAGAAAGCCTCTGGGTTTGCTGTAGTCTGGGAAGGAATCCTTAGAAGGTCCTATATCATAGTTCAAAACTGCCACAGAAACAAATGTTGTGTGACCTTGGGCATTTGCTTTGCCTCTCTGGACCTTCATGTCTTAATTTGGATATAACTGCTTCTCTGAGGGCTCCAAGAACCTGAAGATGGCAAAGCCCTTTGCCTGGGGGTGCTATTAGATCAGCCCAGCCTTTTCTCGTAATTAATCCAAGGGCAGACAGTTTCTTGGTATGAGTCATGTCTAGGATCAGAACACAGAGGTGAAGTTTCTCTAAGGATCAAGTCAGTGGTGGTTGAGAGGCGTGGCCTTTGGAATTACTCAGAATTGCATCCACACCTTGCCTATTTCATTTAGGGGCTGTGATTTTTTTTTTTTTTTTTGAGACAGAGCCTCAAGCTATCCCCCTGGGTAGAGTGCTATGGCATCACAGCTCACAGCAACCTCCAACTCCTGGGCTCAAGCGAGTCTCCTGTCTCTGCCTCCCAAGTAGCTGAGACCACAGGCACCCACCACAATGCCCAGCTATTTTTTGGTTGCAGCCATCATTGCTTGGCAGGCCCGGGCTGGATTCAAACCCACCACCTTAGGTGTATGTGGCTGGCGCCTTAGCCACTTGAGCCACAGGCGCCAAGCCAGGGGCTGTGATTTTTGAGCAAGTCACCTAACCTTTCTGAGCATTGTTTTTCTCATCTGAAAATAGAGCTAAGGATACCTGACTGTGACCAAAGCTAGGGGAAGAAAGAGGAGGAAGTGGCCTGGGTGAGTGTCATTAGCTAGCCTAGGGTGACCACTTTCAACTTTTTCTCTTGCCTTTGTGGACAGATTGTGCCCACCTATGAACGGATGATTGTGTTCCGCCTGGGCCGGATCCGCAACCCCCAGGGCCCTGGCATGGTTCTTCTCCTGCCCTTCATTGACTCCTTTCAGAGGGTGGATCTGAGGACAAGAGCCTTCAATGTCCCTCCCTGCAAGGTGAGAGGCTTCTCAGCTACTCTGCACAGAGGAAGTGGGGGCTTGTGCAGTGTGTATTGTAGGTGCCAGGACCTTGGCCCCTGGGGGAAGGGGGAGAAGAGAACAGAAAATTGGTGGACTCTAGGAGGACATCCTTCTACCTTACACCTAACCCCACATACTTGGGCACAGCATTTTGCCCTTGAGGATTTAGATGCTGATGGATGGGTCATGCTGGGTGGGCCCAGTAGACCTGATCTCCCTGTAGCCCCAGCCCCTGAGTGTCTTCTCTCTCTCGGCCTCCCTCCACAGTTGGCCAGTAAGGATGGTGCTGTACTGTCTGTGGGTGCTGATGTCCAGTTTCGTATCTGGGACCCGGTGCTGTCGGTGATGACCGTGAAGGACCTGAACACAGCTACCCGCATGACAGCCCAGAATGCCATGACCAAGGCCCTGCTCAAGAGGCCGCTGCGAGAGATCCAGATGGAGAAGCTCAAGATCAGCGACCAGCTCCTGGTAGGCAGCTCCTCACAAGGGAGAGCTCTATGGCTGGCATATTGTCTGGCTGCACTTGCTAGGTCACTTTGATCAAAGTATTAGATCATTCTGGACCTCACTTTACATTATATCCCAAGTGTGTAGCCACCTTTGAAGAGCCAGTGTCTGGGTGGAGCCATGAGTTGAGGAACAAAAGGTGGGCACAGACCATAGTGATCTTGGGTACCTGTGTCCTTGAGAAGGGGAAGTGGGCCCAGAAGAAATTCTTGAGGCCTTGCCTGTAGTTGCTGAGGTTTTACCCTTCACTGCTCTGCCATGATGGCACTGGGCTCAGCTATCTCCATTTTGGCTCTGATTCACAAGGGAGGCAGGTGGGTGAAAGGAACAGGGACCCACCCAGCCCAGTCACCTTCTGGGGAATTCCATGCCCACAACACAGCATGTATGTTCTTACAGTTTTAGTTTCCTTTTTGGGACAGAGTAAAGGGACATGAGGACATTTGGTTTTTAACTGCCTCTTCTCCACATGTATGGGAAATTATCCACATGAGTTCACCTTAAATTCCTTCTGGTACAAAATGGGGTAGAAATAAAAACATATGCGGGGGCATGTCCTTGCAGCCACTTTTAACTTGTGCTTCCTCCCATATCCTGATGGGGAAACGTGGGTGAAATTTTTCTTCATTCCCCTCAGCTCTGCTTTCCCCAGATCCATTAAGGTTAGAGGACTGGAGAAGGAGCGGGATAAATGCCAGTCCTGGAGGTCTTGATCCCTTTAGGAAGTAAAGTGGCAAGTAACCAGCTAGGTGAAATTCCTGAGAAAATACTATTTGTGATCATAACAAGAGCTCTCCTGTGCATAGCACTTTATGATTTAAAAGTCCTTTCGTCTGCCTCTGTGTGTCTCAGCTTCACATTTTTGTTATAAGAGTGCTGGTATTGCTGTTTTATTTTGGAGGGAGGGAACTAACGCTCAGAAATGATTTGACCACAGTTAATGGCAAAGCAGGACCAGAGGCAGACCACCTGGCCTCCCCCCACCTCCTACCTCCCCTGCCCCAATCCAGTGTTCTGTATAGCACAACTCAGATAATAAATGGCTAACAGTTTTTATTCGTAAAGCCACATCCCATATTAATTCATCTTTAGGAAGAGAAAATTGATCTTGGCCTTGTTGCACATTGCTTTGGTATGAGAGAGGCAGTTTAGGGAAATCAGTCTCATACCAGGATGTGTGAGTCATTTAGGGGCCCTTCATCCAGACTAGGTTGATGCCTGGTAGAGTTGGGTCAGTGCCTGTGCCTCAGGCAATCCAGCACAACATCTCAAGCCCTGGTTCAGATGTACATTTCTCATTCTCACCCTCCTTGTCACCTGCTCTTTATCTGGAGGGACCATAGACTGCCCACCTCCCATCTGCTGGACCCTCCGTAACTGCCACCCACTTTGTATCCCTTCACTGCCCTTCTCCAGCTCCCATTCCATCCTCTCTGTAGCAGGCCTTGCCTCCTGCCTGACCAAAGAAAGGACTCAAGGACCCCCTGTGTGTGTTCTCTAGGTGAATGCCATACTCAGAAACCCACACCAGAAACCTGACTCCTCACCTCCTCCCACTGCCCTCCCATGTCCTGGCACATCCAGGCATTGTTAAGCCCAGTGGTTGAGATTCTCTAGCATCTTGCCAGAGCTGGGTATAGTTTGCAGAGTTGTGTCTCCCTCAGGGCATCTGGGCTTCTCAGCCCACCCTCTATCCTATACCAGATCTGCATCATTTCTTGGCTGCAGTTTAAAGCAATGTCTCCCATGGTATCCATGCCTCCACCCTCAGCTACCTCCAATTAGTACCTACAGCAGCCTGGAGTTTTTTTCCAGAAAGCAGGTCTGCTGTCACCTTCCTACTTAAACTCCTTGCTGGAGCTCCTTGTTGCTTGGAATAAATCCAATTGAACAGGAACAACCCACCTCTGACCTCTCTCCAGTCCAAACCCAACATCTGAGAGTCCAGCTAAGTAGAACTCTGGTTACTGCCAGCTCCCTGAATATTCCAGGCTCTCCTGTCTGGGCTTTTGCACATGCTGGTCAGGTTGTCTGGAGGGTCCTCTTCCACCTGGAGAATCTCTCCTTCTACTGGCATCACCCTCCTCTGCTGGGCTCACTACCACCCTCCTTCCTGTCTTGGCCCTTACCACAGTTGGGTGATTATTGCCATCTGCCTACGCTCCCAGACTAGAGCTTCTCAAGAGCAAGGGTGTCTCCATGGCCATGCAAGGCCATACTGGCCGGCTCAAAAAGGTGCTCAGGAAAGACTTGTTGAATGGACCCCATTTCTCCCCACACTGTCCTCCAGCTGGAGATCAATGATGTGACCAGGGCCTGGGGGCTGGAGGTGGACCGAGTAGAGCTGGTGGTGGAGGCCGTGCTCCAACCACCCCAGGACAGCCCAGCCGAGCCCAGCGTGGACAACACTCTCCAGCAGCTGGCTCTCCACTTCCTGGGAGGAGGCATGAACTCAGTGGCTGGAGGAGTTCCACCCTCAGGACCAGGTGAGGAGCCTCAGGCAGGAGGGCGGAGATGCTCACCAGCTTGATGTCCAGCACAGACTTTGCTACTCACTCCCTTAACCAAGCACCTGTGTTCAGTGCACACCCCAGCCAGCTGTTCACCCACTCTGATTCTAGAGCTGACCAGAGCTAAGACAATGAGAAGAGTCTAGGGGTATTTGAGTATGTAGAGACCAGTTGGCAGCCTCCTTGGGAGGAGGTGACAGACAGTTCCAGAGGGTTGCTTGAAAGAGAGTTTTACATCTGAAGCTTGGAGTAGCTTAACCCTTTGATTACAAAGAAGTAAAAGCATTATATATGCTATATTTTTTATTTTAATTATAAATATATAGTTAAGGAATATGTTTATAGAGTGTTTTAGTGAAAGTACAACAGACCACCACTATAGGTTAGCAGCGACAGTGGAACAGTTGGTTATGCTGAGAAACCACTGGGAGGCTAGAAACCAACTTCAAAATGGTGGTTATTCAGGTGGCGCCTGTAGCTCAGTGGGCAGGGCGCCAGCCATATGCACTGAAGCTGGAGGGTTCAAACCCAGCCTGGGCCAGCTAATAAAACAAAAATGATAACTGCAACAACAACAACAACAATGGTGATTATACATCAAAACCACTGGAAATAAAAGAGTTAAACAGGGCTGGGGGTTTAGGCTGAGCATTCAGCGGCAGCATTTTAGTAGAGGAGGAGGTTGAAGAGAGGCCTGAAAGGGATGTAAGAGGAACCTGCCACAAAAGTTAGTCACAGTGAGTGAACTTGACCTTGTCAACACATTGGCCTCTTCTTCTCTGTCTCCCTCCCCAACCCTGTTGGCCACCCACAGTGGACACCGTGGAGATGGTGAGTGAAGTTGAAGCACCTGTCCCTCACGTTGCGGCTGGGCCCAGCCCAAAGCAGCCTCTGGCCGAGGGGCTGCTGACTGCTCTACAGCCCTTCCTGTCCGAGGCCCTGGTCAGCCAAGTCGGGGCCTGCTACCAGTTCAATGTCGTCCTGCCCAGTGGCACCCAGAACATCTACTTCCTGGATCTCACTACAGGTGCAGCTGCCTTCCCTGCCTACTCCCTACCACCCAGGTCTCTTGTTCCCTTCCCCATGGCAGTATTTTAGACTACCCCTGCCTGCCCCTGCCAATAGTTTGAGGTGAACCCATAGCAGTCAGGCTCAGACACTGTCTCCAAACAGTGATTATCCAGGCCTTGTCCCCCTGCTGTTAGCAGAACAACTCAGCTGTGCTTCTAGTGCCGGCGCCCTGCAGAAGGGCTCTATACTGAGCACTCTGTGTATTATCTTGCTACTTCTCATTTGTGATTTAGGGAATCATCATCCCTATTTCACAGATTTGGAAACTGAGGCTCCAAGTAGTCACACAGCAATAGGACTCAAACCCAGGGTATTATTATTTTAGAGACAGAGTCTCACTTTATTGCCCTCCACAGAGTGCTGTGGTGTCACAGCTCACAGCAACCTCCAACTCCTGGGCTTAGGCAATTCTCTTGCCTCAGCCTCCCAAGTAGCTGGGACTACAGGTGCCTGCCACAACGCCTGGCTGTTTTTTTGTTGCAGTTTGGCCAGGGCCAGGTTCGAACTCGCCACCCTTGGTATATGGGGCTGGTGCCCTACTCACTGAGCCACAGGCGCCACCCCACGGTATTATTAATAGAACCTGACTTCTTACCCTGTATCTCTGCTCCTCCCATTGGAACATAATCCTTACCTCCTCCCTTAGTTGTCCCTCTACTAATACTGTTTTCTTTTCTCCCATAGGGCGAGGAAAGGTGGGACATGGGGTGCCTGAGGGTGTCCCTGATGTGGTGGTAGAGATGGCTGAGGCAGACCTGCAGGCCCTATTGTGCAGAGAGCTACGGCCCCTGGGGGCCTACATGAATGGGCGGCTGAAGGTGAAGGGCGACCTGGCTGTGGCCATGAAGCTGGAGGCTGTTCTCAGGGCCCTGAAGTAGAGGCCTTGGGTGACCATCTGTAGCCCAGCCCCAAGCCTGGTGCCCAGCCAGGAGGTGGAGTGAGCGGGAGCTCTTGGAGGAGGCACTGGTCTATACCATGGGGAGTTAAGGCCCTAAGAAGCTTCAATCCCAGCCAGCAGCCCACAGATGGAGGCTAGGAGAGGCTGAGTCAGGCTACCCTGCACTCTGTCCTCCAGTGGATCTCTGAATAAGACTTTGCTGTGTGCCCCTCCCTGAGCTGAGTACTGGAGTGACGACAGGGTAGCCAGGCCTGCCCTGCCCTGCCCTGCCCTGCTGGGGCTTCCTGACTGAAGAGATAGGACCCACAGAAACAGCCTGCTGGCAGCTGACTCAGTCCCCATGTGAGGGAGCAAACCACACTGCTCAGGCTCTGAGCGCCAAAGGGGGACTAGTGGGATTAAGGAGTGGGGAGGGAAGGCAGCCTCTACAAAGAGGTCACTGCAGCCAAGGCGTCTGGTGATTGCGCTCGTCTTGTCTTCCTGGTTGCAGTCCAGGCTTACGGCTAGTAGGGGAAAGAGCAGGGCCTGCTGCTTCCCTGGCACTACTCCTGAAGATGCTGGGACTATTTCCACTCCTTCCTGCATGCCTGACAAGCTGGGGCCCAGGGCAGCATGAAAGAAAGCCCTGAGTTCCTATGCTTTTCACCAGAGGTTTGCAAACATCAGACAAATAAATATGGTATTTACAATGTACAGGAGAAAAGAAGTGAGCAGGGGTCTGTGTGGTATGGAGTGGGCTGGGGGCCCATGAGGTAATGCCCCTACTGCTGGTACAAGCAGGGACCAAGGCCCTGGAGGCTGCACATGGCGTCTCAAAGCCCCAGGGAGCAGAGCTGGGGCAGGGTGGGGAGCTCTCTGTTTCTCTGGCAAGTCAGGTACAGACTTGCCGGGACAGCAGTGCTCAAGCTCCCACACGGGGTGGGAGTGGCAGTTGGCAGGGGGTGCTTGTGACCCATTCAAGAGAGGAGTTGGGGCCACTATCAGCTTCCCCCCACACACACCCTGGGTCACTGTCCGTTGGCTTAAGGGAGTAGAACAGTCATTGAGGCCTGGCCCCACGCCAGCCCTGCTTTCATTTTTAGTGCTCCTGCTGCAGACAAGGGGGTTGTGACTTGTCTAGTGCTAAGAAAGATTACTTCCTGAAAAGACTTGTGAGAAAAAGACTCGTGTAAGACCACAAAAGCAGAGCATCTCCTTTGAAGAACAGCCCTCAGTGTGTCCTTTAGCACTGCCGTGTTTCTCCTCCCACGCCTGCCTGGGCCCCAGGATCAGTTCAGCATGCCCCTCTCTCCCTGCCCTGCCACACGCTGCCCCGTCCTTCCTTCCTCGTCCTTCCGTTGTAGATGCTCCACATCGCCTGAAGCCCAGTGCGGACTCGACTGTCATCAACACGACCATTGGGGTCCAGGTTTCTAGGGCCCCTCCCAAGCGTCCCAGCCTCCTGCACCTGCTGCTGCCCATCCCCTCACCTGGGGGACCTCTCCCGGGCCCTCCCAGAGCTTTCCAACTGGGACTGTCTGTTCAAAAGTCCTCCAGCCCTCAGCGGCCACAGTGCAGCCACCTGCAGAAGTGGGTGTGGTTTGGTCCCCTCTGTTGTCGCTTGGGCTCCCTTACACTTTGCAGCTGTCTTTGAACACGTTCCCACCGCCCGTGTTACTGTCCTTCGCATACCCGCTGCCTGCCCTGCTGGACTGGAACTCCCAGCTTCAGCGAGGATTCCCTCCGCGGCAGCTGCCCCTAGGGTGGAGCAAGGCGGCAGGGGAAATGAGATGGAAACAGGAGGAACTGAAAGTCTTCAGATTTTCTTTGTGGGTGCAGGAAGTCAGCCTAACTATTAGAGGAAACTGAAACTTTTCTGGACGTTTGTGTGGGTGGAGGGCGAGGCCTGCTACCGGATATTAACCCAGCACCCTAAAGAAGCAGCTCATTCCTTGGCCAGCACTCCAGGAACTGTAGCCCCGTTCTGTGGCCCTTGAGCTACAAAAACTGAGCAGAGCTTGCAGGCCATAGGGAAGGGCGGACAGAGACCTCCCTCTTGGGGGCGATGGGGGGGGAGGTTGGAAGACCCTGAAAGGGTCGGCTGTGGGTAGGGAGAGGGGTTGTGTTAGTCAGAGAAGGCTTCCCGGAGGAGGTGCGTCCCCCACTTCAAACCTGCAGTTACAGTTACATAGGTGATGGGAAGAGATGCGGAAGGACATTGTCAGAGGGAAGTCCCTCTAGTGCTCTGCTGAACGCGGGGATGGGGGAACTCTGCTTCGGGGCACTAGAACCTACCCTGAGGAGGGGTTGTGTTTCAGGTACCGAAATAATAGCCTGTGTTGTTTGCCAAACGTGTCCCTACACTGCACTAGACATGCCTATATTATTTTTTCCTTAGTAACCTGATATATATATTTGGATTTTTCTTGTATATGTTTTTAACAGGAAAAAAAAAAAAA